CGGAGGAAAACTCCGTGTTGCCTAGACCACGGCCTTGCCCAACATAAGTTATAAATTCGGGCACCGCCGGGAATCGAACCCGAGACCCCAGGATTACAAGGCCACTTAAATTGGCCTTAAGCTGATGCTCTGCATAAATTTCAAATCTACTGAACAAAAGTCTGGTTTAATGTAATTTCTAATATAAAGTTTAATTTTTGGTTTAATGCAATGAATTTGCTGTAAATATGGATTATGTAGAATAATGCAAATACTCTGTTTTACACGACAGGTAGGTTAACGCGGGGAACTATATTTTGTAGCGGAATGAACTTGATTATTTGAAAGACTAGGCGTGAAAACTGTGTAATTGTTGTACACGGAACAGTGGTACACTAATGACGTTGTTGTTTAATATTCTTCACCAATTCTTCATTTCTCCTGGTAATAAATACAATTTTCTTCCGATGATTCACTACCTTCTTAGCTTAATCTTTATCATTATTCAAGGGGCTTTCTGCCTTCTTCACTGGCCTCTCTTTGTTCATTCACACCCGCAGTGCTTGCTAATTCACTTTTGTGGGATGCGGATAAAAGGCAAATGTTGTGGTGATATTATGAAAGCGGATTCATGCTTATTTGATTGAAAGCCGTAAGCCCAACAGAAGATTTTATGGACACCCCTTAATTATTACGTGAGAGAATTAGCATAATCACAAACATTTCTCATAGCTAATGGTTAGAGGTGACGTCTGTTCTTGAAGTCTTTACCCCTTTAACAACTGTGCCTACAGCGGCAGCTTTCATAAACAGTGTATTATAAAGTCCGGCAATCTGCTTGATGGTTGCAACGCAATTGGAGTAATTTCCTTATTCTATCCGCTAACACTGGTTCAAAGGAACCATCAGGAACCATCAAGAGGTTGCAAACGGTGGATGGTTTGTGACGGTAAGGAGAACAGGACAGCGTGACTTCTACGAGCGAGTTCAACAATTTCTTGCCTCTTCGGCTGACTTTCGTGTCATCTAAAAGCAGAACGAGACGTTTTCCTTCTGTTGGCTTTGGAAATTCAGTAAGAAAGAATTCTCCGATACTCCGCGGTGCTATCTGGTAATAGATCGTTCAGCAGCTCTCTACGCGTCCTAGCCCGTGGAAATGTAAACATCATTGGCACGACAATAACAGAGACTCTTAACTTGCCTCTTCCGCTGAGTCCAATTACTTAAATCTGCTTACTGCTTACGGTCGAAATTCCATTTTCATCAACAACACAAATTTTGTCTGAAATGAAGTATTTGTTTGACAAATATTTAGTGGAATCAGTTGTGTGAGCAA